AAAAAAAAATTTTAAATGAAGTCAAATAATTATATTTAATATGAAAAATTAATTTACTTCAACAAAGTGAACAGTGCAACCAGCAACTCGAACACCTGACTGAAGTGCTTGTTTTTGAGCATCAAGTCCCTTAAATAATGGTAAGAGAGATGGATGTATATTGAGTAATCGTCCTCTCCATTTATTTACAAAATGTTTGGTTAATACTCGCATAAAACCAGCTAAACAAACAACATCTATTTGTGTTTGTTCCAAAGCTTTCATCATTACACTTTCAAATTCTTCTCGAGTTTTATAATTTGTATGATTTATTTCCTAAATTTAAAAGCAAAAAACAAGTATTATATTTTAAAATATGAATATGTTTATAATATTATACATAATAAACCCTTTTTTAAAGTATTGACATTTTAATGATTGTGATTTTAGATAAAAATTTTCAAGTTTTTGTAAAGAAAAATAAAGCATTTAATAATTTCTTTTAAAATTTTATTGCTAATAATATTTAGAAATGCAGAAAAAGTTTTCTCCTTGGAGGATAATTAACACTTCTATTCATTTAAATACTACTGCATATGAAGAGATCAATATAATATAACTAAATATAATATTTTTTACCAGAGCTAAAATTCCAGCTTTTTTAGCTCGTTCTAAACCTTCAACATCAGGTTTATTGGATATTACCAAAACTACTTCTGACATCATAGAAGGATCGTCTGTAGTTGCATCAATCAAAGCCTAAATTTACATAATAATAATATGTATTATAATATTCAAAGTTATCATACAACAAATGCACGATTTACCTGTAAATTTGTTCCACTACCTGATATAAGAACAGCTACCCTCATTTTTGGATGCATCCTTGAAGCTACATAAGTTTGTATATGTGGGCGCATAATTGGCTCCATAGCATTTGCAAATTTTGTGACTACTACAGGACAGTCATCTATTGAACCATATACATTTTTGATTAAAATATTAATTACTAATTTTTTAAATAAAATAATAACAATTGTATCCTAAAAATAAAAAACCCAGCACAGGGGGGTCACGGCACAGTGGTGACGTGGCATAGTTGGATTAAGTATAATGACATCTGACAGTGATTAAAATCACTATCAAAAAAACGCTT